CCATCCCATCCCATCCCACCCCATCCCATCCCATCCCATCCCATCCCTCTCCTGTAATGCAGCAGAAGGAAGTTTCTGCCTGACTTCATTGCCTTTGCTGGCATGTGAACGCTGTGTGGAGGAGATGGGTTGGGTATGTGTTGTGGACACCTGCTTTGTGATTGTCTTGTCTCAATAGCAGATGTTGCTTAGATCGAGGGAAGGCCTCCTGTTGCAGTTCTCATTGTATAACCATACTGAGTGCGAATGCATGTATAGTTATCCTGTGTGGGCACTAGGCCCACCACATCCTAGGAGCACCAGGTTTTCTGAAGATATGGTGGTTAGATGTGCTGCACACCCCTAGCACAGCACTCTAAAGCTGCTGCGGTGAAGAAAGCCACCAGGAGCTGGCCATGGCTGGATAGATGAGCCTGAAAGGGAACAAAATATCCCAATTCCTGCTCTGCATACCTGGCTGCAGCAATAGAGTACAGTATCTTATGCTTTCGTATCTACATTCATTCCCCCAGAGGCTATAGATGGAGCAGAAGGCTGTCCACCGTTCAGAAAACATCAGGCTGTGCTATAATTGCGATGACTGCGATTGAATCCTGTGCTTCTGAGCTTCTCCTGGCTTTCTGCAAGGGCTAGGAGGAGATTCCTCTCATGCAAAATTGTGGTGATTTTTCCCACTTCCCTCCTGGCACTAATGCTAGCTGGGCTCCTCTCTGGAAATGTAGGCGAATCGGTACAGGAGGTGTAGATGCAAACTGGGAGCCTGTACTCCTGACTAGCTGGGGTGAAAAAGGATCCCCTTCTCCCGTGCCAGTGGTGAAGGAATTTGCCTTCCTCTGAAAGACAGAGGCTGTTCTGGGTGCATGTCCCCTAACCTAGCTGGTTCTCTCCTGTCCCAAGAGGTCTAGGCAGCAGCGGTTTCCCTGTTTCTTGTCTGTGACACTGATCTAAAAGATGATAAGATCAAGCTCTTGGATTAGCATAAAAAACCTGCGGAGAAATCCTAGGGGGAAGTCCTTGCTCTGAGCACATACATGAAAGTCTTGGGCATCAGTCCCAGAAAAGGGAGGCAAAGAGTTTATAGGTGTCTGGGTGGAGGATCAAAGAAGCCTGCAGCAGCCATCCGTCAGAACAGGAGGAAGACTTAGACACCTCTGATAAAGACTCTTGGGAGTGAGTGCTGCCACCGGTGCCCTCACCTTTGGGGGCAGCTGCTTACCTTGACTCCTGCCAGCTGAGCTTCTGGCTGCTGCCAAAGAGTTCCTGTCCATCTGCAAGCGTGCACATCTGGGGCAGGGTGAGAGCAAGAGGAGCTGCTGGAGGGCAGGCTCCTACTGGCTGGGTGCAGGGGCAGGAGCCGTCCTGAGCAGCCTGGCTTTGCAGTTCCGTGTCAACCGAGAAACCTTTTTGCACCCAGGCACACCACAGCGGGCTGCGCTGGGCCCTGCCTGGGTGGCACCCAGGGAAAAATCACCCCACCAGCCATTTCCAGATTTTTCTTTGCTTTGCCCAAGAGCCAGGAAAAGGTAGGAAGAAAATCAGCTGTAGGTATGATACTTTCCTACAAGCAGCTGCTAAGAGCATGGAGGAGACAGACCTTGCTCTGCTTTTTTGCCTTACTGTCCACGATCCCTAGCAGAGCGCTTGGTGCAGATAATAATTGCTTGCCCCAGAAATGAAATAACATGTTTCTCTTCCCCAGAATAAGGAGAAACTCTCCTTTTCTGTGGTGTCCAAGAAAGCGGCAGCCCCCAGGTCTTTTTGTAGCCCACGGCAGGCACAGCTGTGTCTCCCTAGGCACTTCTGGCCTGAAGTTTCTCAACAGGGTTTGGCAGAGCCTGTGCTGGCACCCAGCTGGTACACAGGGCCCCAGGGAGCAGCTTTCCTGAACCTGCTCCTTTTTTTTTTTGGTGGACAAGGGATCACCTCCAGGCAGGGGGTGCAGGATGAAACCATAAGAACACTGCAGGGCGTTTGCACAACATCACAGGGCATCCTCGACTCCTGCGGTATGATGCCCTGGAGAAGCCAGGACAGCTTGTCTCCTAAGAGAAGGAGCTGTCAAGGCTGAGGAACGCTGCTCCTGTTGGGTGCATCGACAAGGAGAGCTTGCCATCTGCTGGAAAGCGATCAGCATTGACAGGCGACAGTCTGGCAAGAGCTTCTGGGTGTAAGAACAGGAGAAAGGCCTGTGTTGGCAGTCCCCGGGGAGCTGGATGGCATTTGGGCTTGCAGAGAGGGCAGGAAGAGCACCCTCTGAGGAGGGCAAGCCCAGAGCAGGCAGGAAGCTCCTGTCTTGGTCAGATGAGGTCTGACAAAACTCGCTGCAGGGGTTTAACATGCTGCCACTCCCCTGGGAGCCCTCCTTGGAGGTGTCCATCCCCATTGCAGAGGCAGCAGAAGGGAATGCGTGTTTGTGCAACTAGTGCATCTCAACTCATTCATTAGTAGGGCAGAGTGGAGAGCTGGCATGGTGGCATCTCGCATCTCCACAGCACAATTTGCCAGCGTGTCTGTCGAGCTCTCTGTGTGCTGTTCACAGCTTCCCCCACCACTCCCTACACCCCTGAGATACATCCCTCCCTTTGCCATATTCTCAGGATTCAGCCTTTTGTTATGCCACCAGCATATCTAGCCCGACTGGCATCGAGTGTCCCGCTCCCGACCACATCAGCTCCCAGGAACACACATCCAGCTGGAGAGTCCTCAGTTTTCCCAATGAGATTTTATTAATGTCTAGGAGGATATAAGCAGATTTCCAGCACAAGGCATTGAAAAGCTGGTCCTCCACTAGGTGGACTAAACCTTCCCTAGCAATACAAGTATTGGTACCTCTGGGTACAAGTCATATTAATACATCGTATAACATTGCTTATGTTATCAAAAGCTGCTTCAACCTTACTGTCCTGCTATCCCACTGCTGCACTGAATGAGATGGTTCACAACAGGAGCAGAGCCAGGGAAAGCTCTGGCACGTTACTCTCCTGGTGTGGAAACCCCCATGGGAACTTAGCGTACAGACTGTGTTCTTGCCCTTTTAATTCAAACAGGTAAGAAATAACAGTGCACCAAATGTCTTCAATTCCCTATATTTCATAATAGATGGGGCCCAAACTCATATTCGGTATCCATGTATTTCTAGAAGGTAGCATTTTCCCATGATCATTTTTTCCCTAGCAAAGCCAGGCTGCAAGCCTGCATGCAGTGAGCAATTTTGGCACATCTGCAGAAGAAGGGGGTACAGGACCTTCTCCTGCCTCTGGCTCAAGTTGCAGACGCGTTTCTTTAGTGGGAATATCATTTTAAGCAGCATTTGGTTCCAGGCACTTACTTCCAACCCTGCTGTACCTACGAGACTGTCTGGTCCAAGTGTTTGTGTAGCTTCATGGGAACAATGACCCAAGTTAAAATAAACCCAACAAGACCCCCACCCCCCACCCCCCACCCCAAAGAACAGTGTCTCAGGAGAATCAGCACAGGCTGTGGGGAGGGAGGAGGGGTAGGAGGCAGCAGGAGAGCCCCTTCCTACAGGATGGATTGTTTAATTTCCACTCTGAATAATATTGGAAGAAAAGTAGGAGAAACTGAAGAAAAATGAGGCAGAAGCAACAGGGAAAAGTGTGACCATAGTCTCTCATTTTTGTTTTGGATTGCTCCTATCAATCATTCTTCTCATTTAGAGCAGGGATGGGAAAATTGCTTTGACCAAGAGAATAGCTCCAAACTTCTCTTCCCAAGTTCAGCCCAAATCTTGTGTTCTACTAAGTTTTCTGATTTCGTTGTGTAAGTAGTAAACTCTTTGAACAAGGGCTTACTTAGACCATGTTGTGTCGTAAGTAAACTTAGTGGAAACTATCAGCTGGGATTTAAGTGTTGGTTTGTGTGAAGCTCCACAGATACTCCAGTGAAGGGATGTTCTTTTCCAAATCTGGCCAGAACCAAATAGTCCCCCAGGGAAATAATAGCCTTTGCAATTCCAGGTACACTTCCAGATCAAAGATGCTCACTGCAGTGACTCTCCTAAGGTTTTCTTCAGTAAATGATGACGAAGGCTAGGAAAAATTTCAGTCTATTAATCCTCTAAATGGGCCTGCAAAATCTAACCTTTGATTAGTGTGAAGATCTTCAAAATCAGAAGAAACGCTACCACTACCATGTCATGTTCCCCTCCCCGAGCAGTCATGCCTGGCAGCCTCTTGCCAGGCTCCTGGGCTTTAATTTACACATCACTCCATCTAGTGGCCTACAGGTTCCAGCATCCAAGAGTTTAAAACTCTGCCCTGGTACCAGCTGGAATTCAAACCTCTGCAGCAATTTTGCCATCACCACTTTCGCCTCCATCTGTTAAGAAGAAAAGCAAAGTCACCGTCAGTGACAGTAAATACAGCTTGGACTGCAGCTACTTAAAGTCAGTGTATTATGTCACGCTGCTTTGTCAATGTAGAGATTGAAATTTAAATGTCACTCTGTTAGCGCAGCTGGCTGTGCTGGGGCAGTAAGAAAAGTTGCCTGGGGCTTCCTGGATCTGAAGACAACTGACAGGCACTAAGATCTGTCCCTGTGTTCATGTGTTAACCCCATTTTGGAAATCAGAGGTAAAACCAAGAACTTTAACCTGAAGATTCTGAGCACTGGTGCTTAGATGAACTCAAAGCACAGACCCGAAGAGCTGGCCTCCTACTGTCCTTCTGACATGCTCTCTGCCACACTCGGGTACTCACATACTTCATTAAATTGTTCCTCCCATCCATGCAGTCCCCCCATCGCCTTCTCAGAGCCAGTCCTGGCTTGTGCCCTTCTGCCAGCTGATGTTTTCCCTGCCTTGACTCTGCCAGCTGCAGCTACAGGATGGTCCCTAAGAGCCCCTGCATCCCCCCAGTGTGTCTGACCTCGGCTGGCAAAGGGACGTTGACTGTGATTCCCATCAAGGGGTTTGGATTCAAGCAGGGTGACCCAGGACAGTTCAGAGGGAGAGCAGCCTGCTGCCCCCTCCCGTGCGGGCAACTTGGCTGTATGCGGGCATGGGTGACAGGGGATCAGTTCGGTACATGTATGCCTGCTCCCAGGACAGCGTTTCAGAGACATGCCCTGTCATGGGCATGGCGGGGATCTTCGCTCGAGAGGGAAAAGGGTCAGTGCACCATCAGCGTGGGCTTTGGTCCCGCACCACCAGCCATGGCCAGCACTCCCTCAGCTGGCCCAGTGCTCGCTAATGAAGCGTTGTTCCAGGCCTCTGCTTACCTGTGCAAACACCCGCCCAATGCAGGATCGGGGTCCCAGAGAGAATGGAAAATAGGAGTAATATGGCCTACAAAGAAAAACGTTCAAAACTTGTCACTCTGACAGCTTGGTTATAAAGCAAGCAAATATTTCATCACAGCAGCAAGGAAATGGTCTAACTACTACCTTACCTAGCTGACTTGTTAAGACAGTCTCCAAATTAACATTTTTTTGGTTCAGAGCAGCAACACAGCTCTGAAGCAAGTTCCCTCATCATCTCCACTTACTGTATGGCTCAGCTCACGGAGCTGTTTTGTTGCGTGCAAACCTTATTTCAAAGCTGAATGTCAAGCACACTGTAAACACCCTCCAGCCTGTCACGGGGACGTAACGATCCACCCAGTTACTGCTCCTTCGGGCAGCTCTGAACCACGTGAGTGAGGGGGTGTTTCTTCCAGAAGACCAGACTAACTCTAGGCTGAAGTAAAACCCCTGACTCACGAAGGAGTTAGATGCAGGGATCAGCACCAACTATTTAGGCCACTGATGCCTCCCACTGCACTCCAGCCTACTGATGCAGATGTGGCTTAGGCTGCCTGTCCATGTGGCCCAATAGCATCTTCCGTCCCTTGGCCCCTTGGCCCCTCTCTAACGCGGACACACTTTCTGTTTCCTGGGGTCAGGAAACATTAAATGTTTGTATTCCACTATGGCAAATATTCAACCTAGTTTTGGCCCAAAGCTTTGACCTCAATATAAACATTAACTAACACTAGTATTGGTCTTTTTTGTAAGGTATCATGTGGTCTAAAGAACAACTGAACAAAAGCTGCACATTATTGCTCTCTATTTGCATTTGGGTAAGGATTTAGTGTTACTCATACTGGAATGGAAAAATCGTTTTATTCTACTTTTTTTCCCCTTGAAATCTCTTCCTGTAATGGTTCCTTATTACATATTTAATAACCTGGGAGTAAAAAGAAACTCACTTAGGTGCATCTTCGCTAAATCGGTCTGGATTGAAAGTGAGTGGATCCTTGAAATACCTTTCCATCCTTCCCATTATA